CAGGGGCTTAAGTGGAGAGCAAATGTTTTGAGAATGATGAGGGCAATGAATGTACAAATATGCTTTACACTATTGATGTATGTATGGATTGTGATAAGAGTTGTAGGAGCCCCTAATAAAACGATTGAAAAGAAAAAAGCAAGCTGTGCATTTTCCCCAGAGTTATTTACCCTCTTGATGGTGAACACCGTTTCCATTTGGAAGCTACAGCGACAATGAACTTCCAGGGACAAATTTAATTGAAAACTTTTACTCTGTCATTAAGTTCTCTTATTCTTTACTTAATCTCCTACTGAAACCCTCAAAACAGAGGACAGCTCAGTAGTTCTCCACATCTATAATGGTGCCTGGGAAGGGCCTTGTCATGCACACATTACAGACTGAGGAACGTGATGCTTTTAACTATAAGAGACAGTAATAGTAAGCAGTGTGTCTTCAAAGGCCATTTTCTCTTCTGTCTCCTTTTTTTTCTTTAAAAACATATATCTGCAATCCTAGATTAGTATACAAACACATGTAATGGATTTTGAAGACAAACACACACATATATTGTTTTAAAAGGAAACCTCATAAGGTCCAAATAGAGGAAGTGAGAGGAAAGGTACATTCTTGTCCTTTAGGAAAATCATATTTCAATTTTCTCTTTATAAAGAGACATATTATAAAGGGCATGATCTGAAACTTTTAACATAATCTGCTAAATGTTCTCCTGGTATAAAGCAGACACATCTCAGAAATATTTTAACACACATTTTGCATCTGCAAAAGAGATGTCAGAATGATAAATTTCCTGATTTTCAGCATTTAATTTGGGCAGCACAAAACCGGAATCTTTTCCCTTACATGACGATTATGCAGGATTAGATAGAAGAAGTTTCCATATCCTTTGTCTTGAATATATTTTGGCACTAATATAGTGGTCACGCTGACTGCTTATCAATACGAACACTGGCTTTAAGTGATGTGCTATTTCCCCCACTGAACTATGCATCCACTGACACGGGCCTAGAGGTGCACAGACAAATTCAGGTACAGACAAAAGAGTATACACTGGGTTCACGGTCTCTCTTTTATCTTGAAAACTGCCGACACAATTCAGGCTATAGGATGGGGATAACTACTGAACGGACTGTGTGCCTCTATAGGAGAAGCATGCACTGTTCTGAGTGCTTTCATGCACCTCGTGGCATACTAACCTAGTTATGGAAGACAACACATAACATAGACCTCCTGGAACTCTACATTGCCATTTACTAAAGAAAAAGATTCCATAAGTAATATTGCTCTTAAAATCTTTTAATTTTTTTAAAACAACAACAACAAAAAACATTGTTGAGAATGAAGGGGGCCAGAGCAGAGACCCAAAAGCCATCTGTAGACAATGGGGTATCCCCTCACAGAAGGGTCACAAGGGTCAACCAGGGCGCAGTATAACCCTGATG